GGAGAAGGATAGAGAGTTAGAAACATCGATGAGAGAGAAACATCGATCAGCTGCCTCCTGCACACCTCCTACTGGGGATGTGCCCGCAAACAAGGTACATGCCCTTGACCGGAATCGAACCAGTGGGGGTGGGGGGGAAGGAGAGACAAAGACAGACACATCGATATGTGCTGGGATCCAACCCCAGCAGGTCCAGGGGTTCCCAAAGGTGTAGAAGGAATGACACGGAGACAGCGTTCAGTTGATCAGCAGCCTTGCCAGGATCTCTAGCCACAATCTCCAGTCAAGTTCTGTCACCATGTTCTCTTGCTAGGTTCTCCAGCCAGGTTCTGTCCAGGTTCTCCAGCCAGGTTTAGTCACCAGGTTCTAGTCAGGTTCTCTTGCCATGTTCTATCCAGGTTCTGTCTCTAGGTTCTTCAGCCAGGTTCTCTCGCTAGGTTCTGTTGCCAGTTTCTGTCCAGGATTTTTTGCCATGTTCTGTCTCTAGGTTCTGTGTCTAGGTTCTGTGTCCTGTTGTCTTGTTACATCTGTATTTATACCAGTTGATTCAAATCCTATCAATCTCTATTTCAAAGGTTAGGGCGTTTCTTATCTCCATTCCAGGGAGTAAAGATTATGTAGCTTAAGCATGATTGTTCGTAGTTAAAGTGATTAACAACCCGCCTGGCACTTAGTTAAGGGGTTTTATTCCCTCCCTAACTTCAGGGAAAAATCCCTACCTGGGGAAACAACCTTTCTCAGAGAGGTGACCTTGGTTAAAACACATAGTGCCAAGAAGGTGAGCAAACATTGTTCTTATGTCATATACGCCAGGTCCCTTGAAACATATGCTGTGCAGATGTTTCTTCCCTGCAGCGACTGTGTCAAGCAGCAAGGATGGACCGGCTCCCGGCAGATATGTTGTTCACTTATTTATGCATTTGTTGGTTGATTCTTCTCTGTACCCTGACTGGGGATTGAACCTGCAGCCTTGGTGTAGCGGGATGATGTTCTATCCAGCTGAGCTACCTGGCCAGGGGCTAACCCAGCCGGGGGCAAACTACGGCCCGTTTGAAATGAATAAAACTAAAAAAGAAAAAGAAAAAAAAAGACCATACCTTTTTATGTAATGATGTTTACTTTGAATTTATATTAGTTCACACAAACACTCCATCCATGCTTTTGTTCCGGCCCTCCGGTCCAGTTTAAGAACCCATTGTGGCCCTCAAGTCAAAAAGTTTGCCCACCCCTGGGCTAACCTGTACTTTTTTCTGTTTTATTTTGTTAATCCTCATCTGAGGATACTTTTTCCATTGCTTTTTCAGAGAGAGTGGGAGGGAGGGAGGGGGAGAGAGAGAGAAACATGGTTGTGAGAGAGCCATATTTACTGGTAGCTTCCCTCAGGGGGCCCCTGACCAGGAGTTGAACCCAGGACCCTTCTGGCTGATGCTCTAACCACTGGGAACACTGGCCAGGGCCTACCCTTGTACTTTTTAATCTTTACTGCTGATGACACCTTGGAGAAGGTGAAGTAGGCATGGCCCTTCTTCCCAGGAAATTGCATCCAGATACATAGAGGAAGGGACACATGGATCATGGGTCCCGGGAGCACATGCATGGGCTCCAGCTAAGAAGTTCTGGTCTGACTACTTTCTCTCCTCTCCTCCCATTTTACAAGTGTGGCCTGGGGCCCTGAGAAGTAGAGACTGGCCTGGGGTTATCTCCTGTTTAGCTGTCTTTATTTTCTCACCATGCCTCCTCGCATGACTTCTATTTCCTTAGTCCTGAACCAGCCCCACAGGCAGCCAGCCGTGGGTGGTAAGGAGAGGCTTATCAGAATTTTCTAGGCTTGAGAACTCAGAGTCCCTCCCCCAAACACACACTCAAGAGCATCTTAAACCAGCATGCATCTGAATCCTCCAGGGGGCTTGTGAAACCACAGATGGTTGGGCCCTGTCCTCGAGTTTCTGATTCTGTAGCTCTGGCGTGGGGTCTGAGAATGTGCGTTTCTAGTAAATGCCCAAGTACAAACTGCTGCTGCTAGTCTGGGACTTCGTACCGGGAACCATCGTTCCTGGGATCTCAGTCCCAGGTGGGGAACTGCCCAAGGAGGATCTCGGTAACTCTGGAGGGAGTCAGTGTTCTTTCTGGCTTCAAAGGTTGGCTACGTGTGGGCGGGGCTGCCCCACTTCCAGCTCAGCAGCAGCACTCCTGGGAGTGTTTGGGACTATTGTGGGGGCACTTTTCGTTGTCAGTTTGGGAGTCCTGATGTCTGAGTGGGAGGACGCCGAGGTGGTTCTTGGGATGAGGAAGTGCTGTCCCTTCCAAAATTCAGTAGTGCGTGTTCCACTGAGAAACATCAAAAGACACTAATTTCTCCCCAACATGCCCTGGTTTTCTCATTGGCGTGTCTTCCTTCATGTACTTTCTTCCTTTAAAATTTACCCACAAATGGAGCAACACATACAACATCAACACCTTTGTCCACTCGCTTTTGGTTTTTGCCTGGCCAGCATGCCATTTCTTCTGGAACACATCTCCTATGAGTTCCCAAAACACCTTTCTTAAAAACCCACAGTCTGACACCTGAGCAAAGATACTGGGTTTATCAGGTCTACGCAGAAGAAATTCCAAACACCTACCTTCCTTTGATCAGCCCCAACTTTGTCCATATGTTGATGTTTTTTATTCTGAGTCAGGACTCTGTCATCCGCTCATTAGTGGTTTTGGTTTGCACCTGCTGCCTTTTTTAAAAAATATATCTTTATTGATTTCATAGAGGAAGGGAGGGGAGAGAGATAGAAACATCAGTGATGAGAGTGAATCATTGACCAGCTGCCTCATGCACGTCTCCTATCAAACCTGGGACCCTTCAGTCCGCAGGCCGACACTCTATCCACTGAGCCAAACCAGCTAGGGCTGTTTCTTTTTAAAATGTGAAATTGAACCTCCTAAATATTTCATTATTTTATTTTGATAAGAGTTGTCCAGGCACATGGTAAGTACCATACACAAGGGTTACAGAATGCAAAACAGTCCCGTTTCCACACTCAAGCTGGTTCTTCTCGCCCGAGGCAGCCACCAGTCCCCATTTAGAACTCCCTTGTACTTTCGTGTTCACCCAGGAATATTCTAGGCTTATGCCAACGGAGATACTGTACGGATATTACTTTGGGGTGGGGGCATGTGTGGTGGTCTGATAATGGTGCTAGACATGTGTGGCTTTTTAAAACCCGATGCAGAAGCTTGGAGATCGTCAAGGATCAGTCCACGCGGAGCTGCCTCATTCCTCTCCGTGCTGCAGAACAGCCCGCTGTGTGGCTGGAGAGGATTATGAGGCCAGTCCGCTATTCGTGGGCCCCAAAGTCGGTTCCAGTCTTAGAGACGGCACACAGCGCCGTGGCAGAGCCTCTTGTGTGGGCTTGTTCCTCGGTGCCTGTGTGTGTAGACTGTGTTTCTAGGAGAGGACTGTTGGGTCAAAGACTTTGTGTGAGAAAGTGAGAGTGTTGATGGTGGCGTGGGGTGAGCATCCCTGCGGGCAAGGGGAGGCGTTCTCTGGGGAATGTGCCAATCCCAGGCTGCACCCTTGAGTGAGTTTCCTCACTAACTAGCTCTGTGTGCCTCTGGGCCAAGCCTTTGGGCTCTCCAGGCCTCCATTTTGATGTCGGTGGGATAAACCCCTCAACTCCGGGGTCTGTTCTCCCTCAAGGTTAGCATTTAATTTCCTCCCAGGGCTGTGCCCTGGACATTGGATCCGGATTTCCCTGAAGCCTGTCTGGTGAGACTGGAGTTCCAAAGCAGGGACTGGATTTTGTCACAGCAGTTCACTGTCTCGCTTTGCGAGCCTGCCGCGAGCTGCTCTGCCTTTCCGACCAAAAAACCACTGGGAGGCCTTGCATGTGGCCCTTTTGGACCCTGTTAATGTGCCCCCGGTGACTCCTGTCCAGACACGGAGGCTGGTGACACAGGGTGCAGCCTGCATGCTGGGACGCGCCTGAGGGTTACAATTGGAGGAGGAACGTCCTCGGGCTGTCTTTGGGGATAACCATTATTCTGGACCCCCTGTCCAGTCCCATCCCATCACCTGTACTCTTCGCATAGCTCTTTCCTCTTCCGCTGCCTGTAGCTTTCATTTCTCAGCACGTGAGGTGCACCAGGCCGCGCCATTGTATCATCCCTAAGCTAACCAGTCACCTGTCGGGCATGGAATGGATTCACAGTCTTGCAGGTGAAGATTGGATGGTGGAGGAAGTATATCTGTTTGAATGAGATTCTGGGAGAATAAAAATGGAAAAGAATGGATTGACAAAGGTGAGGTTAGCATTTCACCGATGAGACTCAGTGAGAAGGTAATTTGTGCTGGCCTCTTTGGAGGGGAGTTGCAAACAGAATCCCCAACGGTGGCTGAGCCCTGAGGACTTTCTGGTGGGTAGGTTTGCCTGATAAACATGAATAAATGTTGTCTTCCATAAAGAAGTATGTTTGCCTTTGCTTTCTTAAATGTGTGGCCTTCCTGGTCTATCTTTCATGGTTTCCTGCCCTGCCATCAGGAACGGATGTGGAGGAAAATATTTCTTTGGGCTAAAGGACGATACTGGTGCCTGTGTGACGACTCGTGGTAGCTGGGTCATCGCCTCGTCATCAGAGATCAGTAGGGAAGGGGGGATTGTGGCAAAACGGAGGACACATTTTCATGTAAAAATGGCTAGCGGGCATTCAGATCTCTATCTGTTGCCATAAGGCCATGGAAGGAAAGTCCTGATCTGTTTCTTTTTAAGAAAAGCCAAAAATCTAGGTGATTTTACAAAGTCTCCCAATTTTTATATTCTGGTAGTGAGTTACATTTGTTACAAAAATGTTATGCAGGCCACAGAAAGACCATCTGACCTCTGAGATGGGTAACAGAAAGGGGGTTGGGGGGTGTATTCTAAGGAGGAGACACACGGAAACGAAATGGGTTGTGTCCTCCCCGCCCCCTCCCCGACTGCTTTAAAATGTGTGGTCCTGTGTGTCTCTTTCAGATCCTGGCTCCGCTGACAGAACAGCCCCGAAAAGAAAGTTCCCCAGCCCTCCGCATTCTTCCAATGGCCACTCGCCACAGGACACATCCACAAGCCCCATTAAAAAGAAAAAGAAACCCGGCTTACTGAACAGTAACAATAAGGAGCAGGTAAGGGGCCACCGCGAACGGTGTCCGCACGGTGGGACAAAGGCTGGAATGAGAAGACGGCAGCTCTCGGGGGCGGCGGGCGGGGGCTGGGGTTTAAGAGCCGGTGTTCTTGGCATTTAGCCACCTGCCTGACGCTGGCTGTCATTGACGCAGAGCAGAACAGGGCAGCTCAGGAAGGGCCTGTGTTGAGATTTGTGGCGGGTTTTCAGATCTGTTTTGGGGACAGGGCAGTCGTCCAGATGAGACAGAGAAATTGTGCTTTAGGGCTTGGGGCTTTTTCTTGGGTTTCTGTTTCATCCTTCAGGAAGGTTCCCCCATGTGGCTGGACAGTATTTTCCTCCTGGGCCACGCCAGCAGGATGGCTCTCGCCTCCGCCTGGAGGTGTTTGTGTGGCTGCGACATGCTCTCTTCTGGTCTCAGTTTTCTCATCTGTAAAATAATGGGTTTAGGTCCGTGGTGAGAGACAGCTGCCCTCCCCACCCATTGCTCACGGTAGACTGGTAATTACTCACCATTCCTTCTCACTGTGCAGAGACCTGGACTGCAGACCCCACCTTCCCTGGGCAGCCAGGGCCAGTCAACTAAACATGAACGTCTGTTCGCCATCTTGGATCATACGAAGGAAACCTAGCTTTAACATGACCCGATGCAGGCTAGATATATTTTTGATTAAAAAAAAAAAGAGAGAGATGCTTTAGTGGACCAGGAGGCCAAATCTCCTGACACTGGAGGAGGCAGGGTGACCCGTGGTACCACTTAAGTGAGGAGCCCTCAGATGTATTCATGCATTTCCTGCGTTAGGGAGCACCGGAGTGGGCTCTGGGGATTTGAGGTTGAAGGAAACAAGATTATTGCTTTCACGGGAAGAGACCTAGCAGCGGCTAAATGCCCAGAACTGTGAGAGGGTACGTTTCTGCACACGAATCTATTTTCATTCTCAAATTATATAGCGAAATGCCAGCTCTGCTTTTTGCTCCGTGGCTGTGGGCAAGTTAACCTCTTTGTGCCTCGTTTCCCCATCTACTGAAATGGGGATAATGACGCTGCTACTATTGATTTCCTAAGGTGGTTAAGATGAATTGAGCCAAGTGACATAAATAATTAATAATAATAATAAAAATTAAGCCAGGCCCTACACTCCATAGAATAAACACACAAACTACAACAGCAGCTCTAGAGATGTCTCAGGCCTGTGCTGTTCGGTATGATAGTCACAAGCCACGGGGGGCCCTTGAGCAGATGCAGATGGCAACTGTAACCAAGGAACTGAGTTTCTAGTTTAAATGTCAGTGGCTCTCTGGCTTGCAGCTACCATGTTGGACTGCACAGGGCTAATTGTATTAGGAGGCGAAACTGGAGGGTCTGAAATAAATTCTGGGGGATCGCAGTGTGAAAGACATGTATAATAGTGTTGGTAATAATAAAAGCAGTGCTTACACTGTGCTATCACATGACATTATAGTTTCAGATCCTCCCCGGCCCCCATTTTCCGGTGTCTATGTTAATGTTTATAATAGCCCTTTGAGTAACAGGCTCTCATCATCTCCATTTCACAGATGAAAACATAGAGGCTTAGAGAGGTTAAGGTGCCTCCTTGGCGCGAATGAGAAGCTGCCTTTGAGCTTAGGTCTCCTGTCACCCAGGAGCTACCATCGCTGTTGAGATTAAAGACTAAGAAAGAAGCATGAAGGCCACAGATAATCCCCAAACCTTGACTTAACCAGCCATTAAGTTCCTGGGCAACACTTTCTCACCAGCTGCCCCATAAATCACAAAGCAGATATTGTCCCCTCCTTGCGCCTCCTCCCTGTGTGTCCACGTACACACACACACACACACACACACACACACACACACACACACACTTGAGTCCCTACCTGTCCTTTAAGAATTGGCTCCCATCTCTCTTTCTGGAAGTTGGCCAGCTTGGACAGCTCATGCTTAGTCTCTCCCTTCTCCATCCCTGTGTTAATACCATCCCTATGACACTTAAACCTCCTACCACATTAATGTGTTTGCCAATCTGTGTCCCCCCCGGACCATTGTCCTCAGAAAACTATCCGACGGTTGCTGTCTCATCTCCCAGGAGCTTGACCCGGGGTGGGAGCTTATGCATATAGAACGCGCTCAGGATGTGGAAAATAGCAAAGCATGGGTGACTACCTACGGGGCGCGATTGTGCTCCTGAGTAATCCGTCGCCCTCAGTCTTGGTAGAAAAGCTTGCAGGACCGAGACACTGGAGGGAAAGCGTCGCAAACCTAGAGCCTGGGCTCTTTCTAGCCCCCTGCACCTGGGGAACTGGCTGTGTGACCTGGGCGGTTGTTTCCTATCTCTGAGCCTCAGTTACATTGGCAAGTAAGGGTTGGGACTAGAGACATCATAAGGTTGCTTGTAGGTTTGTTTTCGGTTGCAAAACTCCCTGGGGCTGAGCAGCCAGGAGCTGGCAAAGGAGAATAGTCTAGCTCAGTGGTCGGCAAACTGTGGCTCGGCAGACTGCGGCTCTTTGGCCCCTTGAGTATGGCTCTTCCACAAAATACCGGCTCTTCCACAAAATACCGACTTCTGCGCATGGGCCACGAAGTTTCAAGCGCAATGTACGTGCGCGCCCACACATGGTATTTTGTGGGAGAGCCACACTCAAGGGGCCAAAGAGCCACATGTGGCTCGCGAGCCGCGGTTTGCCCGACCATGGGCCTAGCTGTAAAGAGAAGAAATGGCTGACCTCGACTTTATAATTCAGTGTAGCATAGAAGGTTTGCAGGGTAAGCGCAAACCCTCTCATGCAGAATCTGCTTTCCTAAGAGGAACTAGTTCTTCTGGACACTTTCCTCTCCCATTCCCTTCCCTGGCCTCTTTCTTTCTTTTAGGATTATGGAATTAAAACCAAATCGTAGGTCGCAAATGCGGTGTTTAACCAACATAATATAATTCCTGTTAGTACCCAACATTTGAAGATTATGAGATTTTCGATAACAACTTATATTTCTGAGTTCCTAGAGAACTCGGAGAATTCTAACAACAGTTGGAGCTGAGCACATCCTGCCCCTTTATTATTTTTAAAAATATTTTTATGTTTTTATTGATTTTAGAGAGGAGGCGGGAGGGAGAGATAGAAACACCAAGGATGAGAGAAGATCATTAATCAGCTGCCTCCTGCATGCCCTCTACTGGGGATCGAGACCTGGTCGCATGCCCTGACCGGGAATCAAACTGTGATTTCCTGGTTCATAGGTCGACATTCAACCTCTGAGCCACACCGGCTGGGCGATCCTGCCCCTTAGACGCAGGGCCTGTGTGCTCCGGTTTTCCCCACTCCCCACCCCTCCCTTTAGTGTCACCCTGCCTGCTTCGCTCATTCCTTCTGCCTTTGGCTCTCTTAGGTGTTTGGGTTCTTTTTATTTTTGGTACATATCAAGGTTCTCTGCCTCCTTCCTTTTTTCCCCTTCACTCTAATTTCTTTTTTGGTGTTAATCCTCACCCGAAGATATTTTTCCATTGATTTTTAGAGAGAGTGGAAGGGAGGGGAGAGACAGAGAGAAACATCGATGTGAGACAAACACATCGACTGGCTTTCTGCATGTGCCCTGACCAGGGCCTGGGATCGAACCCATGACCCTTCAGTCCGTGGACTGACATTCTATCCAATGAGCCAAACCTGCTAGGGCTTCACTCTAATTTCTCTTCTGTATTCTAGTGTTCTAAAAAGAAAGCCATTCTGGCCTTATAAAAACACCACCCCGCCAATATTTTTCTATTTTTGGTAGCAACTTTTTATTAGCGGGTGGAGATGCAGGTTGAGTTTTTAAGTTGGAAGCCCATTTCACCCATTTTTCATATATTGGGGATTCAATACTTTTAGGGGGAATTTCGAGAAGAGCTTTAAAAAAATACTTTATTTTTTTGGGGGGAGGAAAGTATTCTAATGCTTATAATTAATTTTTAATGCCTCTTGGTCCAGTGGTTTTACCCCTAAAAACATGAACATGTCGGTGTTTTTTCTTGGGACTGCTGGTGGGGATGTCCCAGAGCCTGGAAGGGTGCGCCTGCCATTTCGTGGAGCAGGTCCGGTTGCCAAGCTCCCTGCAGTAGGAATACCTTGTCCCCAAATGACACGAGGCCTAGATTGCAAAATACCATCTTCCCTTTAATTCTTGGGTCATTTGAGTTTGAAGAGCCCTTTTGGAAGATCCATCCTCCCTCCCTCGCTCCTCCTTCCCTCATCAAAGGATTTAGAAATAATTGCTAACGGAGTTGTACAAAAAGGCCTTAGGTGTATATTTGATCAGATATGGCAGAGAAATCCCCTCCTCACGTACAGGGTGTATACATGTCATAAATGGGTGGCTAGGATTTACTTTGTTGGGTCCATGCATTGTCTTAAAAACAAGGAAGCTTCACAGAAGTCCTTTGCTGGGCAGGGGCAGTGTATTAGCAGTTGTACCAGGTCAGGTGGCACCTTGGTACGTGCCTGCCTCGCTGCCTCAGTCCTGGAGCTGAGGGGAAGTGCTCCCCTAGGGTGGGCATGAGCTCTACCCCTCCTGCTGTCCCCCCCGAGTGCAGGCTGAATGCCAGGGCCGTTCCTCACATTCCAAGACCAGGTCGTCCATCTTACTGCAAGACCCATGCTTTTATCCGCGCGGGAGGACAAAAGCTGGAGAGAGGACTGCTTTGTTATTTATTTATTTATTTATTTATTTATTATTTGTTACCTACGTGGCCCCTGTAGGAATTTGAATTTGTGGATCCCCGACAATGTACCCTATGCTTACACAATAGCCAGAGTATCCATTCTCTGGCTTAGGCAGACCAGGGGTTGCAAACTATACTTATTACAACTGTAGCCGCAAACTATAGTTATTAACAATATTCTGAGCCTGTTTTTGTAAGTAAAGTTTTATTGGCCCACAGCCACATTCATTCGTTTACATATTGTGAAAAGTTTGCGGCTCCTGGTGTAGACTCGGGCATTGCCGAAGTGAATGAACAAGCCTGTCTGTTT